GCGCATGCCTGGTGCTGCTGATCAGCTCCTTGAGCTCCTTGAGGCCCTTGTAGAGGCCCGCGTTCTCGGCGGGGGGCGTCAGGTAGCTGATGGTGTTGGCGTAGGAGCGGCGCTTGGCGATGGTGGCCTCGCTTTGAGGGGGCGGGGAGGGGGGATAAGGGAAGTCAAGGGTCACGGTGAGGCCAATCCAAGGCCGGACAGACTTGACCCACGCGGCCAGCAGGCCGGTGTTCTATTTCAGAACCCCAAGACTTGCCAAACTCCCCACCCCAAGCCTTGCCCACCTGGGGTTGTTGGCGGCGTAGTAGTAGAGGTTGGGGATGGCACCGATCAGGCTGTCAGGGTAGCACACACCAGACATGCCCACCTGAGATGGGGGGTTGCAGGTTGGAGTTTGGGGACGGGGGTTAGGTCTGAGGTGCCACTGCAAGACAAGATGAAACTGCAGTTGCGAGTGGTGCAGTGGGCATGTCCAGGCACTGAGTTTGCCACCTGCCGTGTGCCTAAGGTCAATCAAGCTGCTCCAACCAAAGCAGCCCATACCTGCTTGCCGGGCATGAACTCCAGGGAGCCGTGGGTGCCAAAGTGCAGCACCGCGTCCGCCTTGAAGATCTTCTCCAAGTAGGTGTAGTAGGCCGCAAAGCCGTGGTGGGGGCTGGCGCTGCGGCTGAACAGCAGGCGCATGGGGTCGCCCTCGTAGCCAAAGGTGGGCTGCACGCCGATGAAGACGTTGCCGAACTGCTTGCCGTAGATCAGCAGGTCGTTGCCAGCAGAGTTGAGGTTGCCGGGGGGCTTGCCCCAGTTCTCCTCGAGCGCCTCGCTGTACTCGCACAGCTTGGTGTACTCGCTCGTGGGCATCCTGAGGTTTGTTTAGGGGGGAGGGGGCTGGTTAGACAGGATTTGCTGGTGGGTCAAGGGGGGCTGCAGCAAGGCTGCCAGGTGCTGTCCAGGGCGTTGCGGCAACACCTGAGCTCCTTTTCAAACCAAGCAACCGCCCCTGTACCAGCAAAAATGCAGCAGGACAGCCCAATGCCTTGCACAGACCCATGTTCTAAGTGTGCCAACACTGGCTGAAACCTGCCAGCTTGGCAGCGCGCTTGCCCCCGGCACCCTCCCGTCCCCCCACCTGTACGCGATGTTGAGGTCACTGGAGTTGAACTTGGCCTCCTTGGCCTGCAGCACGCTCTGGATGAGCTCGGTCTCGTTCATGGGCAGGCTGCCCACGTTGTAGCCCTCCTTGCGCAGCTCCTTGAGCACGCGGAAGATGGAGCCGAACACGTTGAGGTAGGCGGCTGTGCCCACGTTGCCCTTGTCCGGCGGGAAGCTGAACACTGTGATGGCCAGCTTCTTCTCGGCGTTGGCCTTCTTGCGGAGCCGCGCCCAGTTGACCGCGCGCATGCACAGCGTCGCGACGCGGTCGGGCAGCGAGTGGCTCTTGCCGGTGTTGGAGTCGCGGCCGGCGAAGACGATGGGCTCCAGGGCGCCGTCAAGCTCGGGCAGCGCCACCTGCAGCGCCACCTGGACGGGGTGCACGCCCAGCTCGCTGCCGAGCCACTCCTCCGTGGTCTGGAAGACCAGGGGCAGGGACACGAGGTAGGGCACGTTGAGCTCCTTGAGGGCCTCGATGGCCTTGGGGGCGTCCTGGCGCGCGGGGCCACCCACCAGCGCAAAGCCTGGGGGGTTGGTTGGCAGGGGAGGTGTGCATGAAATGTGGGTGAGGAGGGGTGCGATGACAGAGGGCAGGTGAAATCGAATTCAATGGAGTTGACCAGCAGGCGTGAATTCTCAAGACACGGTGGGACCAGCGCTGGGGCTGGCCGCGACACACCCCAACCCCAGCTCCACTCCCCATGTCGTCCCCGCCCAAGCCCGCCCGCGCCCTTGGCTCGCTGACCACCACCCACCTGTGAGGGAGACGCAGCAGTCCACGAAGGCCTTGCCGCTGCCCAGGGGGTCGTAGAAGAACTTCTTCACGGGGGACGAGAAGTCCAGGCCGCCGGCAAACACAGGCACCACCTTGGCGCCGCGCGCCTCCAGCTCCATCACCTGCTCAGCAGGAAGGCGGGGCGGATGTGGGGGAGGGGGGGGGGCAGCACAGTGCTCAGCAAGCTGAGCTGGAAGACGGCAGCTGGAGGCCAGGCTGCCCTGCTGGCCGCACCCTGCAGGCTGGCCGCATGGTGCCGCCTGCTCCCGAATGCAGCCTGCTCGCGACACCCGGCGCCGCCACCCCTGCGCCCTACTGAAGACAAGCAACTGCCCAGCAGCGCACCACGCCGGCGTAGTGGCCCTCGTCGCCGGTGACCAGGTGGGAGCGCTGCATCACCAGGCCGATGACGGGGGCGTCCTTAGCAAACTCCACGTCGCGGCGCGTGTCGTACCTGGGGGCGGCAGGGGACACAGAGCGAGAACGGCGTACAAGCCAGGGTGAGCACTTTCCCGCTTGATGCTGGCAGCAGCAACCTCTGAGCGCAGCGAAGTCATTTGGGCACGCAACCAGTCGCTGCCTGAACTCTGCCTGCAGGCTGATGTTCAGGTGTGTGCACCCGCAAACTCTCCAACCCGCCATTTTACAGCACTGCCGTCAGTCTCAACCACATGCGGCCCTTCACCCCAACTCAACCACCCCAAAGGCTGCCGCTCGACACCGACGCCGGCCCCCCACCCCGCCC